TATTTAAGGGGCCATTCAGGCAGTAAGCCAAGTCTGATGGTTCCTATGCTGTCCTCTTGAGATGCACTAGATTTCAAGACACACTGAGGAAGAGGTTACATTGCAGAGCGTATTCTAATGCATCTACTTTAGCCATAGGTGCTGTGGTCCCAGGGAAGACAGCAGGAGGGCTGTGCTGCAGTTGTGTCCCCAGCAGTGTTGCAGACTCTCAGCAAGGCTCCCGGGTCTCAGCTGACTCAGTTTCACACACCTGGCACTGAACGTCAGGGGTGGATAACTTACCTAGGGCTGACAATTTCCTCACCCTGGAGGCTGAATTTACTGACCCAGTACATGTAAGGTCAAGTGCCTACCTGGTGGTGTAATGCACCATCACCTCACTGGCAACACAGCCCCCCAGCCCTGCCCAAGTTCTGCCTGCAAGTGCTATTCACCGGCCTGCCTTTTTAATTAACAGAATCCAGGAGTTTGAATGTTCTTTGAGTTGACTTTCTACCAAGTCTCAGCCTGGCTTGAGTGCTGGCCTCATAGGTGCTGAGATCTGCTGGGGCTGTGGCAGCCTGTGGCTCAGCTGCATTGAGACATCAAACCTGAGCCGAAAGCCCCTGGTGCCATGCAGAAGGGTTAACAGTCTGCTCGCTCCCTCTGTGCTTCAGAGAGCTTTGTTCATTGGAGTATTAAATTCCACAGCTGTAAATAATCTGCAGCAGGAGAGATTATCAAGGCCTTGGAAAGGAGCAGCTTTTATTAATAAGATCAGTTCTCCCTGCGAAGCATCACGTAGTCACTCTCCACCCTTTCCTCGCTGTCTCACCAGGCATTGCCACGGTCCAGTGGCATAACTTCCCCACCTCCACTATGCCACCCATCCTGCTGCCATGCTCCCTCTGTCTTGCTGTTGCTGATCGGTGAATATGGCTCTTCCCAGCAACCTGGGAATGCTCCCCACGTTACCTGAGATGTAATTGTGGTTCATGTGGTGGGTTCAGTGCTGGCCCCATGGCCAGGCTGCTGCTAGCCAAGGTAGGAAGGTGGTGGGACACATCCTTGCTGGGACAGGAGTGTGGCACTTCTTGCCATCATGGCACCTGCCTCTGTGCCAGGCTGGAGGCTGCCCCGCCTCTTGACTCCTCCAGGGAGGCTGTGGGCAGGTGCAGCATGCAGGGCTTGGATGTGGTTTTCCATGGCAGTCCCAGGAGCAGAAAACAGACCTAGTGGGTGTTTGAATGGAAAACCATTCCTGGTAATTTAAAATTGTGTGGTTTAGTGTCTGGGAGCTTTTCCCAGAGCATCTTATGTGAAGGCAGGAAGATGCCCAGCATGGACTAGGCTCTAGCTAGAAAACCAGCCTAAGAGAGGCTTTTTAGGATGGACACCAGGACTTGGCCCTCTTTCAAGCTTCCCAGTCACAGGGGATTTCTCACTTCTGCATGAGGAAGAATCCCCTTGTTTAATTCTTTCTCAAACCCTACTCCCCTTCACAAGTAATTTCTGGTCTTAACACTCCAGCAGTGCTGGATCCCCTCTGCCAGCAGAGCTGCAAACACAGCAGCTGAGATTGCAGCGGGACATCAGGCCTTGTGGTGATTCCCACCACAGGAGGTGGCTGTGGCTGCAGTGGCTCCCCACTGTGCTGCACTAATCCACCTGGTGCAGGGCCCTGCTGAGCTTTTAGATTTCTTTTCTGGCAGAGCTAGAGAGTTAACATGAGGTCCCTGTACCCCTAAACATCCGTAAGCAGTGCACAGACATCCTGCCTCTCTGCTGGGAAAGCGATTGGTGTTCAGGGAGCAGCAAACACTCTGAGTTTGGGGGGAGGGCATACCCCAGTTTGCACCAGGCTTTCAGGACACTGTTAAGCATTGCCAAGAGCACCAGCCCCACTGAAAGGCCTCTGAGGATAGAACTCTCGTCCTGCCACTTTCCACTTCCCTGGCAAACTGCTGAGTTCAGAGCTAACCCTGACAAGGCACATCTCCTCCACCCCCTGCTCCATTACTCACCCAGCTCACTTCTCCTCTCTATATTCCCAAAGAAGTCCATACCCCGCTGACCAAAGCATCGCTTTTAATTAAAATGGTTCCCCTGCGATGCATCATCTGAATGTCTCCGCTTATTCCCGCTGGGTTCCAGCCAGAGAGACGTGCGGGGGCAGAGTATCAGGTCAAAATCTCTCCAAGCTGCAGGCAGAGAAAGTCAGGGCAGAGAAAGCAGCTGATGGCTTCACTGCCCCGCTGCCAATGAGCTCTCAGCAAGGGGGAGCTCTGCCCCAAGAAGGCCTGGGAATGAGACAGGGCCTCTCTCCCTGCAGGGGCTGCGGAGCTGTGGATGCCCAGGGAAGGCCGGGAATGAATGCTGCGAGTAGGGATCACCAACTCCCTGGGCGCGGCTGATGTTCCTGCAGGAGCATCGAGCCGGCAGCCATGTGCCATGCTTGGTGGGGTTTGGAGGACTCTCTCCAAGGCTCTGAGAGGAGTAAGGGTGGGCACTCCACTGGGGTTTGTAAAACGGAGACGGGAGGCAGCTCAGTAAGAGTACACAAATGATTCTCTCCTAAACGGAGAGAACCTTTTCTATCAAGGTTGCAGGGCTTCATTTGGGTTACCTAGGAGATCATCTGGAGCAAGGGCCTCCTGCTCCAAGGTGGCTTAGCTCTCAAGAAAAACACCTTCACCTCCCCCTGTCCCCAGTGTACTGGCAGCTTTTCCAGGGATGAGAAAAGAGGGGGCTGCTAAGGATCAGTAAGTCCCCTGGAGCACCACATGGAGCTATTCCTCCCACTTCCCTAAGAAGGGTGAGTGCTAGCTCCGCCCACAGCTGCTGCAGGACTTTCCCTGGGCTGGGGTCCTGCAGCGGCATAGCTGCTGATGGTGCCTCAGACGTGCTGCAGGCTTAGCGCTGAGCAGCGGGAATTGCCGGGTGTGGCACTCGTGCACGAGTGTGTCCCCCATCCCGACCTGGGCAGGACACACGCCACACATGGTCACTGTGACACACCTCCCATGTGGATGGAACAAGTGGGCAGCCTGTGGGATTGGTGGTGTGCCAATAACAATGCTTTACTCCAGCCCCTGCAGAGACCCCAACCCTTGTGCTTTGGAAAGCAGAAATTCATCCTTCTGGAGTAAAGCCAGAGAGGAGCAGGGAAAGGCCTTGCTGTGCATTAGGGAAGACTCTCTGAGGGGTTTGAAACCCATGTGAATGTTCTTAGGAGGCTCCTAAGATCCTCTGTTGGGGCATTATTATAGCAGCCCCTGCTGTCACGTGCTGCCGTAGAGCAAGAGGGCCTGTACACTCATATGAACCTGTGGCATCAGCTAGCAGTAAATTGAAATTCTTTTGCTCCTGGACGTGCTGGGCTGAATCCATGGGCACTTATGGAAACTGCTGGGACACGTGTGTGCTGCCTTATTAAAGTATGCAGCATTTCATCCCTGCATGGCGGGTGGCAGGAGCCAGGCATGTGCCCGGTCGGTGGTTTCTCCCTGCTCCTGTCGGCTTTGCTCTGCTAAGAGACCTTGTGTGTCCCCTCCCACGCAGCATCCCCATTCCCATTCTCATCTCCGTCCCGCTCCACGTCCCTGCAAGGCGGCAGGCGGCCACAGGGTGTCAGGCGGGTGCCGGGCTGCCTTCCCACGGAACGGGGCTGCGGGACTGCCGGCTGCCGCCCGTGGGACCGGCGATCCCGGCGGGCCTGGGGAGCACGCCTGGCAAAACTGCAAATGAGGGACAGAGTTTGCAGTCACCGACACCCTTGAGCGCGCCTCCCTCCAGGGAAAGGATGGCTTCTTTTCCTTTTCCCACGTAGGGAGGCAGACACGTTTCCAGGTGCTGTGTGAGTTTTGCCTGGTCTTGCAGGGGAGGGAGGGGAAAGCTGATGGCCGCCCCTCTGGAGCACCCCAGGTGAGATGAGTTGTGTCGGGCCTCGGCGTCTGGCTGCGGAATGCAAAGGAAGGCTGCACGACGAGGGGAACAAAGGGCCTTGGATAGCAGCACTAGCGAGCAGGGAGTGTTGGCAAACACGGCTGCCATTGCTCAGGGAAGAAAGCAGCTGAGCAGGGGCATGGGGAGACACTGAGCTCAAGGGGCTGTGGGTTCCCAGCAGGAAAAGGGGATCAGGAGGTTCGTGGTACTGAATCTCCCTTGGCAGGCACCTGCTGGACCTTGAATGAAGTTCAGTTGTGCTTTTCCCAGCTCTCTGCTTTGTGGCTGCACTGAGCGTGGGGGGGAACCCATTTTTCCCACTGCATTTTCGTGGTGGAGGCGGGGGAGCTGGTGCAGAGAGAGCAGGCTGGGGAGGATGCATCAGTGAGTGACGTGTGATGCTGGAGCGAGCAGTGGCCCAGCCTCGCTCAGGTGCAGTTCTCCGTGCTGCGCCTCACGTACAGAGACGCTGTCTATCCTCCAGCTATTTACCATCAGCTCATTTTGCAAACTCTGCACTCACACGATATTTTTTTTCCCTCTCTCCCTCCCTACTTCCCTCCCTCCCTCCCTCCCTCTGTTCCCTGTAGAGATGCTCAGTGTTCCCCATTCAGCTTCAAGCGCAAGGTCTTCCACCTGCACAGGCATTGCACACGCTGACCCGCGTGCAGGTTCTGTTGGGCCTGTCCAAATTCCCCTCTTCCCTTTCTCCCACTTTGTCGAGGCTTTAGTCCTGGTGGGGGGAACTGTGGTGAACAAAGAAGGAGGCTGGTATGAGCTGAAATGCTGCCGGGGGGGGACACCTGGCCAGAGAGCCTGGTACTCCTGTTCATGCGCCCATGAGCCTGCAGGTCCGGCCCCTGCTGCCCTGCAGGGCTGCTCACTTCCCATCGGGGTGTGGGGTTGCCATCTTTACTGACTGGGGATAACTATCCTTTGTTAGGGGAGAGGGAGGAAGGCAGGAAGGAAGAAAGAAAAAGAAAGTCATATGGGACTGGGGAGAGTCCCCTGATATGGGAAGGCACAGGAGTTCATTCCTGTGGGTGCTGGTAAGGGATGTGGAATAAGACCCAGCCAGGGATTGCCCCATTGTGTGCTGAGGAGGGAGAACAGAGCGCTACAAGGAGAGGGCGGTGGGAGTCTCGGCCCTCCCCAGTGGGGAATTGGAAAGGGATTGCCGAGGAAAAGGGGCTGCCCCTCAGTGTCTCTTCCTGGAGGGGGTTGCTTGGCCCTGGGAGGGTTTCTTCCTGAGCAGGGACTGTGACTGACGGCTTCACTCACCCTTTTCCTGGCGGGTATGTGCTACTTTAATCTCTTTTTTTGAAACCTAAGGCCCATGACTTGTCTCAGGCTTTTATCTCCTCTATCTCCCCCGTGCCGAGAGAGGGCTTTGTGGTTTTAAGGAGGTGCTTGAAAACACGAGCTGGGGGTTTCCCCTATGGGTGGGAACAGACAGCATAGGTAAGAGACTGCTGTCTGTCTTCTGATTTCCAGCAGGTTGGGCGGCGGTGGGGCTGACCGCTCAGCTCTTGGCGGTGCTCACCCCGAGGGTGGCGAGGAGACCACCCCAAATACAGCTGGGGCACACCTGAGGCTCGGGTGAGGGGCTGGACGGAGAGACCCCACCTTGGTGTTAAGGGCAAGGACAGGATTGCCGTTCTGCCCCGTGGGAAGTCTCGTACGGGCTTTGGGGACGCTGCTGGGACGGGGGCTGGCGGTGGGGCCGGGACCCGCGGGCGGGGGTCGGG